AACCAACTCTTGGCTTCATTGATTTTTTTTTTGTATCATTCTCTTGGTCTCCATTGTATTGATTTCTGCTCTGATCTTTATAATTTCCTCCCTTGTATGAGCTTTTGGTTTATCCTGCTCTTCTTTTGCTAGAAGCTTGAGGTTCAGCATCCGGTTGTTTAATTGGGCTCTCTCTGTTTTTCTAATGTGAGTATTCACTGCTATGAATTTCCCTCATAAGTCTGCTTTCATTGTGTCCCATAGATTCTGATATGTTGTGTTGTCATTGTTATTTAATTGTAGGAACTGTCTGGTTTCTTCTTTAATTTCCTCTGTGACCCATTGGTTATTCAGACATGTGTTCCTCAATTTCCATGTATTTATAAAATTCTTGCAGTTTGATCTATTGATCTCCAATTTCATCACTTTATGTTCTCATAATATACAGGGGATAACTTCAATTCCTTTGCATTTACTTAAACATGTTCTATGAGTGAGTATGAGGTCTATTTTTGAGAAGGACCTGTGTGAAGTTGAAAAGAATGTGCATTCTGCTTTTGTGGGGTGGAACACTCTGTAAACATCAGTTAAGTTCATTTGTTCAAGAGTTTGATTGAGTTCTAGTATTTTGTTGCTTATTTTTTGTCTAGTTGATCTATCTATTTGTGACAGTGGGGTGTTGAGGTCCCCCACTGCTATTGTATTAGTGCTTATTTGATTTTTTATGACCATTAGTATTTGTTTTATATAGTTTGGCACACTAGTGTTTGGTGCATATATGTTTATGATTGTCATCTCTTCCTCTTGGATTGTTCCCTTTACAGGGATATAGTGTCCTTCTTTGTCTCTCTTAATCAGTGTTGGTTTGAAATCCACTTGATCTGCAAAGAGCATAGCTATTCCTGCTTTTTTTTGGGTTCCTGTCGCATGGAGTATTGTTTTCCACCCTTTGCCTTTTAGTCTATGAATTTCTTTTTGAATTAAGTATGTTTCTTATATGCAGCATATAGTTGGATCTTACTTCTTGACCCATTCTGCCAGTCTATTTCTTTTGATTGGTGAATTGACACCATTAACATTGATAGTTATAACTGATACATAGTAACTTATCATTGTCATGACCTTTTCTTTTTGTTGGATTCTCCTCCTTTGCATTTAATTTCTTGTTCTGCCCAATGGTTTCATTCTGCTGGGCTTCCTGGGGTTGTGATCTTCATCTTTGACTAGGATACAGTCTAAAATTTTTTGGAGTTCTGGTTTGGTATTCATGAAGTTCCTAAGTTGCTCTTTGTTATGAAAGTATCTTATTTCACCATCAATTTTGAAAGATAGTTTTGCAGGGTATATTAATCTAGGTTCAAGGCTATTTTTGTTTATGGCTTGAAATATATCACTCCAAGGTCTTCTTGCCTTGAGGGTTTTCATTGAGAAGTCTGCTGTGATTCCTATGGGCTTTCCTTTGTATGTGATTTGTTTCTTTTTTCTAACTGCTTGTAGAATTTTGTTCTTCTGCTGGGTTTCTGGAATCCTAACTATTACATGCCTATGGGTAGATTTTTTTTGATTAAGGCTGGTTGGTGTCCTATATGCCTCCCTTATCTTTATGTCAAGTTCTTTTCCCCTGCTTTGGAAGTTTTCTGGTATCACTTCAGTGAACAGTTTTTTTTATGTCATCTGCACTCTCTCCTGTTTCTTCATTGAATCCAGTCAGTCTTATGTTTTTCTTCTTTGGATTATTTAGCAGCTGCTGGATTGATTTCTTGTGGTCCCTTACAATTTTAAAGCAATTTTTCTTTTCCTGGTCACTAATTGCAATCTTTTCTTCTATATCTGAAATCCTGTCCTCACATTGGTTCATTCTGCTGTATAGACTTTCAATGGAGTTTTTAATCTCCTGGAAATCTGTTTGTATCTGTTTTATGGATTCTATTTGTTTCCTATGTTGAGATTCTATCATGTTCCTCAGCTCATCTATGTTTTAATCTGTGTCCTCTCTAGATTTTTTAATCATGTCTTGCACTATGGGCACAATCTCTGCTGTTATCTGAGAAATTATTTCTGATTTCATTTTTTCCAGATCTTCTTTTGTTGCCGGGTCAGGTAGTCTAGGTGATTGAGTATCAGATTGTTCCATCTCATTTCCCTTTGGGGTTGTTGTATGTGATCTGGAAGTCTGGTTTTGAGGCTTGTTTATGTGTCTTCTCACTTCCATGGTGGAGGAGGAGTGCTGCTGGCACTGGTGCAGCTCACCTCCTCTGCCCTAGGAGCGGTGGAATGGCAGCCTGGGAGCCTCCTCCTGGGTGCTGGGATTGGCTCATGTCCTCTGCCCTGGGAGCGGTGGAATCTGTTCCCTGTTTCATTTTTGATTTTATACTTGATCTTAGCCAAAAGGCCGAGAAGCAATTCATTTTTTATTTTAGATTTGAATCTTGTCCTTTCTTTTATTGATAAGTGTAGGTAAAGCTCTATCAATTTTGTTGCTATTTTTAAAGAACTAACTTTTGGGCCTGTTGATTTTCTCCATTGTTTTCCTATTCTCTATATCATTAATTTTCACTCTTGTCTTTATTATTTACTTCCTGGATTTGCTTGGTATAGTTTGGTCTTCTTTTTCAGCTATCTTTATGTGGAAAGTAATGCTGTTGATTTAATATCTTTTTTATTTATGCCTAAAATTTCTACCTAAGCTGTGCCTTAGATGCATCTCATATAGTCCATTATGCCAAGCTTTTGTGTTTTGTCTCTTCCTTTGAGAAACTTCTCTAAAACATCACCAAATCCTCTTGCCTTTACTTTCAGTATGTTTTGGAATTCAGATGGTTTTCAATTTTTAAAGGTCATGAAGACATAACCACCCACAATGGATTCTGTGGCAGCTCCCCAGAATCAGACACATTTATATTTCTATAACCAAGCACATGAATAATCATTAGAAATGGGATAAAGACTGTTAAACCAAGTCAGTTCAGCTTGTGTTCCTCTGCCAAATGAATATGGCTCAATCTTAGTGAAAGAAACCTAGTCATCAGGGCTTTTTAAAGTTTGGAGTTATGAATAAAGATTGTTGATCTGGGATTCACATCCACATCACTTGTCTCCAGCCCCACTGTGGCCACCCCGTGCAGAGCAGCAGCATCTCTCACTCAGGCTATCTCCCTGCTTCAGCTCTGACCGCCCTGGGCTCCATTAGCAGCACAGCAGCATGAAATCCCTGCTAAAATGGAGGTTATATTATGTCTCTCCTATGTCTCACATCTCCAAGAAATGCAATGAAATGACAACAAGCCAAAGTCCTTACACAGGCTAGGTGATCTTCCACAACCCATTTCCCTCATTTTATCCCATTTCTAGTCCCATCTCATCTTTTACCTGGTCCTCTGCTCAGGGCCTTTGCACTGGTCATTTTCTGTGCCTGTAGTATGCTTTTTTTTTTGGCAGGTGTAGGCATGGCTTGCCACCTCATTCCTTCTAGGCCTTTTCTTAAATGTCAACTTAGTGTAGTCATTCCTAACCAATGCATAGGAAATAGAAACAAAATTTTCCTAGCTCTCCCTGCCTATCTTGGTGTTTGTTCTCCATTGTACTTGTCACCAGCTAATATATTTACTATTTCATTTATTTATTTATATATTTATTTATTTAATTTTCTGCATGCCTTCCTCCCAACTTCAGAGTATAACCTCCATGAAAGCAGGAAATTTTGACTATTTCTTCACTATATCTCCTATACCCAGGACACTACTTGGCACATGATAGGCACTCCATCAGTTTGTTGAATAAATGAATGAGGCCTGCTCCTATGATCACAGAATAGGTAAATGTGTTTTATTAGTTTCCTAGGGTTGCCATAACAACAGAAATTTAGTTAGTTTTTAACTAACAGAAATTTAGTTTCTCACAGTTCTAGAGGTTAGAAGCCCAAGATCAAGACGTGAGCAGAACACCTATGAAGCCTCTTTCTCCTTGGCTTGCAGAAGGCAATATGTTTGTCTTCTTGCTATGATGGTCACTCCTAAATCTGTGATTTTCTTAATCTCCTCTTTGGAAGGGTTCAAACCATAGTGGATTAGGGTCCACCATAATGACCTCATTTAACAGAACTCATTCCTTTTTTAAAGGGCCTGTATCTAAATATAGTTACATTCTGAACCCTGAGGGTTAAGATTTCAACAAATAAAATTTAGGGAAGGTACAGAGTTCAGCCTACAGCATCTATCAATCATTTATGCTGTGAGTGGTCAGGAGCAAGTTTACATATTAATACAAAGCAGTGACAATGGTCTCCTTCTTAAGGTTCCCACATCCCACTGATTCACCCCTAATTCCCTCCCTCTGGCCTCAGGACAGTCTAGTAGAGAAGGTAAATTGTAAATGGTGAAAGAGGTGAAAACTTGTCATACTTACTGAAAAAGCAAGTAAAGTGAAATGACAGATGAAAAAAATATATGACCTCTTTTTGTATAAGAAGCAGTGGATTGTGAAGGTCATAGGATAACCAAATTTGAGATAAATAGGACCTTTGGCATAAAGAGAGATGTGAAGGCAAACAAATTGAAACAGTGATGTTACTACTTCTACCAGGGTCAGAAATGTTCAAATTCTAAGTCCTACAGGTGACATTTTGGAAAGGACCCATTTGTTTTGTGTGTATTGCAAAGGTAGAGATAACCACTGATGGCAAGGGACTGCTGCCTCCTGGGGGTTCACATTCTGTCCTCCGGTTCCCTTCTCCATCCTCCCAAAACAGAGAGTATTTGGGACAGGGAATATTTGGACAGTGTGTAAGCAGGGGCTTAAATGCTGGAAGATCTACTTAATCTTACACATAATGCCAGGCACAGAAAACTTCTTAATATTCAATTGCCTGCTCACACCCTATCTGGAGCAAAGGGATACATGTAAATACCTTGTGAACATCTACCCAGATGAGAGGCCCCACATGCTGTCAAACATGAAGGGAATATCTTCTCTGTCTGAAACTGGATTAGAGGTTGCAAGTATCAAACATAAAAGGGAAAGACCTTAATGGTGTTGTCAGTGGACGCGGAAAATATTTCGTTATTCTCAGAAACTGTGTGGATGTAGATCACTGGAGCTGTGTGGCTTCTCAGCATACCTGTTGGTTTTCTAAAATGAAAAAAGAACAGATGAACACAAAGCAGTTCTGTCTATTTTGAAATAAAAATGCAAAAATAAACTTGGCCCAGATTTGACAGTTCTATTCTGCCTGGAGGAAGGTGCTGTTTCCTTCTGAAATTACACAAGTATATATCATGTGTGACAAAAGGACTGAAGCAAATAATACCCAGTTATAGCAACAGAACTCTGGGTGAGAGGAAGCTTTGGGCTTTGTTTTCCCAACTGTTAACAATAGCAATATAAAAGGAATATGCAAGGAAGACCCCAGGGTGGGGTGGGAATGTATTCCATGGCAGGTTGTCACTTTATGCAGATTGCAGTGAAGGGCTTTGTAATATAAGTTAAGGAATTCTGAGGGATCACAGTACCTTTGCAAGGTCTTAGGGCTGGTGCAATGGAAGGGTGAAGAGGGAAGGAATAGAGAGGCAGGGCTGAGGTTAAGGGAGAGAACACAGTCTTTTTATAATTAAGTAAGTTGTTTTCAACTACTAGACAAATGGGAGTCTAACATGATAGAAGTGGGTAGTAAATGATTTTTATTTTTTACTTATTATGTATCTGATACTGTACTGAGTTTTATATGTGGATTATTTCATTTTTAATCTTCATTACTACTCTAGGAGGTGGGTCCCCTTGAGATCACCATTAGAAACAGGAAAACTGAGGTTTCAGTACTTGGTCATATTCACCTGGCTCAAAAGTGACAGGGGAATGACCAGACCCAGTGTGCTTACCTGCTGCACTGCACAGTCTCAGTGACCACCTGCACCACTGCCTGATTCTTATCTAAAATGTTCCCCAATAGGCCCATTGTGAATCAGGTATGGTAGCACATGTCTGTAATACCAGTACTCTGGAAGGCTGAGCTAAGGAGAATTGTAAGTTCAAGCCCAGCCTGGACAACTCAGTGACCTAGTGAGACTCTGTCTCAAAATAAAAATAAAAAAGACCCTGTACATTACATTAACCCTTGGTTCAACCCCAATATTAGGGGGGATAAAGCCTCATTTTGTTGAAGGTTTGGTTGCTGGTGGGCTTTTGGAAGGTGAGTGGATCATAAAGGATCTAACTTCATTGATTTATAAATCCATGGATTTATCCACCTAATTTGATAGTATTAATGAGAGGTCATGGGGTTTAGAAGGTGGGGCTTCATTTAGGGGAGTGGGTCAGGGGCCATGACCTTGTAGACTATGCCTTGTCCTTGTCTCTTCTCTTTAGCTCTGGCTCACTTGCCCTTTCTGCTTCCTGGATGCAACGAGGTGAGCAACTTTTCTGCGCTATGCTCTGCTACGTGATGTTTATGCTCACCACTGGCCTAAAGCAATTGAGTTGGCTGGTCATAGACTGAGACCACCAGCCAAAATAAACCTTTTCCCCTTTGAGTTGTTTTTCTCAGGTACTTGTCATGGCAACAGAAGGTTGATGAACACAACTACTGAGGGGCACAAGGTAACCTTGTGGGCCCTGTGGATGCTTGGAAGAGCAGCTTAGCCAGGAACCTTAGCATTTCCTATGTGACTTGTATTCATCCCTGAATCCCCATTATCAACACAGGAAAATCAACTCCTCATTTTCTATTTTCCTTCCATCTCCAACACTTCTCAGTGGAAATGGCAAACCTGCCTTTGAAGCCTGACTGTTATCACTTCCAAGAAGTTGTTAAACTTTTCTGAGCTCCTGTTTCTGCATTTGTCAGTAGGGCTTGATGTGAAGATCAGAGATGATATATATACATGTTGCACAGTACCTGGAACAAAGTAGGTGCTAGATAGAATGGTAGTTACTGTTATTGTCAAGGAAGTGCTCCTTGAGCACTTGCTCAGTAGGGTCTACCATGAAGGATACATGCCTGACTCTGAAGAGTCAGAGGAGGGGAGGAGGGAAGAGGGAAATGAACCTTCAATGTTATGCTGCTTGCTACCCTGCAGCCCCACGTCCAGACTTTATAGAGCAATCCCTGGTTCCTTAAGTCAGTTACCCCTTCCCTTTTATGCCAATTATGCTATACCTTAGGGATGGTAGAGTCATTAATTTTGATGGGGCTAAACAACCCCCGTGGAGAACTGAGTGCATACTTGGGGCCATCTGAGCAACTTGGACTGAAAAGTGCAATGATTACACATCAAAATCCTGAATTACACTTTGTAGCTGATCAAGGTTCATTGTTGGGATGATAGTAATGAGATTAACAAAAATCATGAGATGTGGGCGAATGATGCCTCCACACTGCCTCTTTGTCCTGGCAAGGTATTTACATTTTAAATGCATTGTAATTCACCCCAAGGAATGAGTCTGTCAAGGCCACAAACAGAAGATTACTTTTAGACAGAGGTTCTAAATTATTCTAACAGAGAATCACCAGTCCGGCTTTCACATGCTTTACCACATCAATGACATTCTTGGTGGGATAAAGACAACTTACCCAGGCAGATAAGGATTCCAGGCTCTAATTATTCTATCCATTCCACCTGTCAGCAGCAAATTCTTTCTCTTACAGAATGAAAATGCCTTGACTCCTTTATGGATGCGAAACACTGTTTGATCACATTCTGCTCCCCTTTGGGGCAATGCTTGGCCTTTTCTCATCTTGGCAGCTTTTCTAACATTCCTTATCTCTTTCATCTTTTGTTTGACATTTGTTGTTCCCATAGTGCACCCTAAAAATATTCACAGAAAAACAAAACACAGTTTCACTGTCAATTTCCTGACATGTTGATAACTTTTAAAGGTCCCAGGTTCATTTTCAGTAATGACTATTTTTTCTTCTCTCAGGTGTTAAACTATAGATAGTCTAAAGAATAAAAATGATGTGAATAAAAAAGCAAGATTTTTATTTCCTCCCCCTTTTCCACAAAAGACCAGGAATAATCACCTGAGGAATAGAGGTAACGTAATCACCATGAGGAATAGAAGAAGGTGATCTCGTTTGGAAGAAACTAACATATTAAATCTCAACCCAGCGCCAAATCCTCTCCTACAACCTTATTTGAACCCAATAGAAACTGGGTGACCTCCATATTACAGTTAAGAAAGAGGTTAAGAAACTTATGATCAAGAAAATTGTGGAACCGAGCACCAAACTCATGACCATATAACTCTTCCATTGTGACTCATTGAGTTGACTTACCAGTTCCATCCACCTACGAGACCATTGTGCCCTACAATTATTTTAATGGATATTTTCCACCAAACAACTTACTGAGTTATGAATCTGCTGATCAATAGAATAAAAGTGGTTGCATCACATAGAAGCAATCAATGGTCATCTTGTAGGTTTCAGACAGGAGTCTCAGTGGTAGATCACCCATGAAGGAAAATCTCAGTACATTTCTTCAGGACCTTTCCCGTCTCTACCATCTGGCTCACCCAGATTACCAACCTCAGCCATGCCCAAGGTGAGTGAAAGGGTCATAGAAGAAAGTTGAAGAGTAATTTTCAGCTTCCCTTCCCACCCGTCCCCAAATAGGAGTCCTTTCTCACTATGGAGTCCTCTTTCTCACTGTTTGCAACTTCAACTCATAGCTAAAGGACAATTGGTTTTGAGTGTTGTTCTGCCTGTTATCACAAGTTCCAAGTTCAATTGTTTCCCAAGAATCAGAGAGAGATTGCAATTCAGCAAAGCACCACCAAGGCAGGTGCACACTTTGTTTGTAAGGAGAGGCGCTGCTCTGTCCTACAAACAGTGGAACTCTGATGCAGGTCTTCTAGATTTTCAAGAGAAATGGGAAGTCTCTATTTTCATTAGAAACTTTGAGAACTTTAAATATTGGCACCTAGTTTCCAAACGTGTTTTAAGTATTCTGCTTGTCAGCCCACTGCTACCTCTGGCTTAGGAGTACTTCACTGAAGTGGAGTACAGAGACATATCCAGGAAGGTGGTAGTGACTCTCACCTTTTGACTGCACCAGAGTGCTTTCCTGTTGACTGGCCCAGTGCTCCGAGGTAAGGGGTGCCTGCATTCTATTTCACGAGGGCCACTAGGGAACAGGGAGTCATTTCCAAATGACTATGTGCATGATTTCCACATTACCTGGGGCTATACTCTGACTCCTAGGCCACCTCTAGATAACATATTGACAGTGAATTGAGGTGACAATCCTGAGGCCCATGGTATCTTTCCCCTGTGGCCAAGGGCTGGGTTGGGTAGGGTGGTTGGCCAGTCACTCTGGCCTATTTTTCCCTTCCTCCTTTACTATGTATGCAGTAGGAAGGTAAACAGCCATGAACTTGAAGCTCTTCAGCTGCCAGGCAGAGGGGAGGGGTAAGTGGTGAGCACAGATAATTACATAAGATGGCATAGTGAACCAAGAATCTGGATGAGCACTGTGTCAGAGAGATGCAGGGCACCCACCTCCAACAGCAGTTTGACACGTTCACCCTTCTTGTTATGAACAGAGACCAGAAACTTCTAAGCAGGTGTGTCACTTCATTTTCATTTTACTTTTTTCAAGCAGAGGGAGAGCAGCTAGTTCATTTGCATGATCTCTAGCACTTCTTTTTCCAACAGAGCCAGACATAGATACATGTTTAAGTAGTTGTCATGGAAACCAGAGTGCATAGCTCTCCTCTAAGGTCTGAAGGAAGGATGATGAAAAGTTTAAGTCATCACCATGGAAACTCCGTGCAGATTCAAGGCAGGTTCAGACCTCCAGCACACTAACTAGTAGCAGGTAAATCTTCAGGAACTGGGGTCTTGGTGGAAGGTTAATTCTGAGTACTCACTGTGGCTCTTAGCATCAGGACAGACTCATTCGCCCTCTCCACAGGCATAGGAGTCCCACGGGGTTGGCAAAAAGGTGGGTGTGTTCCCCCAAGCTCAGAATTTCACTCTTCCTGATTCAAGATGGATTTGGGGATCTTGCCTAGCCTTCCCTATATTTTACCCCCTTTCTCCACCACCTTTCTTTGTATAGTAGGAGCCCATGAATCTGTGGTCACAAAATCAAACTTTGTTCCTAGTTGCAGAAAGCAAGACATTCAAGGTGGATTCCTGCCTTAAATAAACAAAAGCACTGGAAAATACTTCCTAATTCCTGAACTCTGTGGACAGTTGTTGGTTTCCTCTGTTACATCCCCGCCCCCCTCACCGCCCATGTAAGTCTATTTGGGAATAAGTGGCTGACCATAAACCAATCTTTGAAACCATAAACCAGGAGTCCATAAAGGAAGATCTAGAAAATGTTATCAACAGGCTCTTGCCTAAGGTGAGATGAGAACTATTTAAGGGGAGTCACAGAATTGAGGGAATCAACTCCTTGTTTCCCAGTGGGGTTATGACTCTGGCAACAACTGAAGGGTGACGGTGGGTGCTAGCACTCAGAGTGAACACACACAATTGACTGTAGCAGCCGCCTGAGTGTGGAGAACTGTGGGGATAAGCTGGGACCAGGCCAACAGAGAGAGGAGACAGGAGGAAGACATTTGCCAAGCTTTCCCTACAGTGTTCTGGTTCTCCTGGATTATGATACTTCAGAGCACTGTTTGTGAGCGAGATGGATGTGAGTCTGAATTCTGACTTCACGGATACATTCACTTAACAGATATTTATTGAACACCTATCAGGTGTCACACATTGTTCTAAGCACAGGAGGTATAACGGTAAGCAAAACAGACAAGAATCCCTAGCATGGAGGGAAGAAGACTGTGAGCAACAAGGATAATAGGTAAATTATATAGGATATCTATGTATGAGTTTAGACAAGGGGAAAAAAAGCAAGGAAGATAGAACACCAGGAGCAAGAGGGTAGTTCCAGTATATAATAAAGCACGCAGGGTAGAAGGTGAGAAGAGCCATTTGAGCAAAGACTTGCAAACAATGGGGAGTAATCTCTAAGCACATTTGTGGAAAACCTTCTAGGAAGACACCAGGAAAAGTGCCCAAATATATAAACAAGGAGACTGGTGTGATTGGAAAAGATTGAATGAGAGATGAAAGCAGATGAGGCCAAAGAGGTAAGAACTGGGGTGAATCACACAGGGTCTTGAGTAAGACCCTAGGGGCCCGCAGAGGATTTGGAAGAACATGACTTCTAGTTTTACATAGTCTCTGGCTACTGTGCAGAGAACAGAATGTGGAAGTGGATGGAAGCAGGGAGACCAGGTAGGAAGCTGTCACAGGAATCTAAAGAAAAGAAGATAGTGATTTTTATTGATAGGAGTGCAGCTGGTGAGAAACAGCCAGATTCTAAGTGTATTATGAACATGGAGCCAACAGGTTGGGTGTGAGTCATGAGAGACAGTAGTTAAAGGTGGCCGCTAGGTTTTTGGCCTGAGAAACTGGAAAGATGGACTAAATACCAACTGAGATGGAGAAGATGTGAAACGGGTATGAGGAAGATCTGAATTCAGGTTTGGACTTAATTTTGATGTCCATTATCTATTAGAGGTCCACAGGGAGCCAAGGCAACTGGAAATGCCAGAGGAGGCTGGACTAGAGATATTGGTTGGGAATGGACAACACATTGGTGGCAAATGAGGAGGTAACCAAGAGAATGATATGAACATGGAAGAGAAGATGACCAAGAACTTAACACTGGGGGCTCTAATATCGAATCAAGAGGAAGTAGAGAAATAAGCAAGGAACATGGAGATAGAATAACTGGTGGGATGGAAGGAAAACCAGAAGAGGTTGGGATTTTGAAACCCAGTGAGAGAAGTGGATGAAGGAAGCCAGAGTGGTCAGGCATTTCAAATACAGAGAGAGAAATGAGAGGAATATGAGTCAGTGGAATTGGTAACATGAGAGACAATGGGACTCTTAAAAGAGTAATTTTGTTAAAAAACCACATCTTTATCCAGTTTCCAGTTGATGGGCACTTGGGCTGTTTCCAAGCTTTAGCTATTACAAACTGTGCCACAATAAACATAGGTGCACATATATCTGTAAACATGGGTGCACATATATCACTATGGTATGATTCTTTTAATTCTTTTGGGAAAATACCCAGCAGGGAAATAGCTGGGTCAAATGGGACCTCCAGCCCTAGTTCTTTGAGGTATCTCCACACTGATTTCCATAGTGGTTGCACCAGTCTGCACTCCCACCAACAATGGAGAAGAGTTGCTTTCTCTCCACACCCCTGCCAGCATTTGTTGTTGGTTGATTTCTTGATAGCAGCCACTCTTTCTGGAGTGAGGTGGAATCTCAAGGTTTTTTTTATAAAATGGAGTACTACTCAGCCATAAAGAAACTAGAAGTCATTTATAGCTAAATGGATGCATATTGAGGCCGTACACGTAAGTGAAATAAATAAGACACACGTGTAAATACCGAATAGTTTCTCTAATGTGAGAAACTGAGAGTATAAATAAGGACTAAAAGGATTAATAACTAATAAATGATACTTTGAAATTGGAAAAGGTCCAAAGGGGTAGGGGTGGTGGGAGGGGAAGGGGAAAGGAAAGAATGGAAAGGAAAAATTATAAGAAAAGAAAAAAAATGGAAACAAAGTATGTAAATAGGGAAGAGTTTAGGGGTGAAGGGCGCATAGGTAATGGGGAAAAAATAAGAACCAAGATACATCATGTACAGGTACAAGCACCCAAAGATAAATGTAAATGTATTGTTTACCTAAAATGTACCAATAAAAGAGTTTAAGAAAAAAAAAAAGAGTAAATTTGGTGGTGATGGTGACCAAAGGCAAGGTTAG